TTTTTTTTGATGCTCATACTCATTTTTTTCTTCAGGGAAGTCTCGGACTAGTTATGGTGGCTATAGAATGAGCCATACATACACACATTATGACATTTCCTTCTTGTGTGTGTGTGTGTGAAAAGCGAGATCTTTTCAATAGTAATAAAGTCTCGTGTTCTCGGGCTTGTTTGCACTCATAAAACAGACAAAGACAACGAATTGAAAGCTTGGAAACATGAGAGAGAGAGAGTGAGAGAAACTCGATAGAACGCAATCTATTTCCGAAAGTTTATTCACACACTCTCACATCACACTATATTTATAGTTGAATGGATAAGATAGATAAATCTTTCTATATTCAATGACGGATCATCAAAAGAAAAAGAATCCAATAAAACAGTTCTTTTTTTTAATATCATAATTCTCAACAATCAATTGAGTGAATATAAATGCATAAAAAAGAAATTATACAAAAGAAAAATTGGATAAATATGTATTTAGATTTTTATTTTATACTATCATTTTCCTGTCCACCATAACTACATTTTTGAAAATTAATCTTGTGATCTTTTGGAAATATATTTGATATTTCTTTATTTAATAATGTATGTAATGACATGCCATCATGTGTATAAATCCATGATTGATTTAGAAAATCATAACGTTTAGGTCCACTAAATGGTGATGATAACCATATTTGTTTATTTGGTGTTTGTTTATTAATAACATAAATACCAAATTTATCAAGTTCAACAGTTAAAACACCATTAGCATATGTTACATCTGATGGTAACTTATGTTTATCGAGTAAAGTTTCAAAAGCTTCTGTTAATGAATCTAATGTTTCGTTAGCAATTGTTTCATATTCATTGTCCGATGAAGATGACAATAGACGAAGAGTGAGAGTAGGAAATCTAGGAGTTATCGATGATAAATTTCGTAAGATACATCTCGTAATCATTACGTTATTCAAAGCAAATCTGGAATCATATATATATGTATATATATTGATTGATAAAAAAAGAAAATGTGTATAACAAAATTAAGGTTAATCGCACAAAAAAAAATATATGGGTTAAATTTTCTGTTTTATGTGTTAATCGCCCTTTTTCTTATACGCTGATAAATAAGCTGCAAGACGTTCATATAATTGTTTGGGAGATTCAGCTTTTGGAACTTCATAATTTTGACTGGCATATATACCAGCATAAACACCAGCAGAAAATGTGATCAATGTTCGCAAGAGTGCCATTGAATTGGTTTGTTTTTGATTGATATTTTAATCTGAAAAAACATTTTTTTGAAATATGAATAAAATTATTCAATTATTTTTTTATCTCTTATAGAAATGAATTGTAAAAATATCTAAGTTTTCTTTCTGAAAAACCTAGCCTAATCTATCTGATTATCTAAGTTATCTCAATGAAAGATGTTCGAGTGTCTCTTAGAAAGCTTCTCATAAAAAAAAACTTTGAATTGATCATTCAACTCTGTCAACAAAATGTAACAATTAAATAAGAACTATTATTGATTTTGAAAATTTAGACATAATAATGTTTATCATACAAATTCGAATATTTTCTTGAATTGATTTTTGTTCGTTAACTGAAAAGGATGTTCTTTTAACCATCTATATTGAAAAGTATCCACTAAATAAATATTCGTAATATTTTCTCAAACAAACATTTTGATTAAGTATACAAATATTTACTCTTCGGAACAAATAAGAAAAATATTCATTCAATCAACTAATTCTTCTCTAATTTTTGATTTATTTAATCGAAATAATTCATTTATTCTAATTATCGAACATGTGTTGTTTTTTTCATTAGGAAAGAAAAAAAAACGTTTATTCATCTCTTTTGTACATTTCGCAATTTCTTTTCTCTTTCAACATTTCTATGTCAAAAATCATTATTGACATATACTAAAACAAAAATGTAGAGTAATGGAAAGAAAAAACAAAAACATGTAAATACAGAATATATTTTTCTTTCTTATATAAGGAGAAGTTTCTTCATACAATGTTTTTTGTACAAAGTAGCGCTGTACACACACACATACACACATACACAATCTTGCACGAATATGCTGCTGGCTAATATCAAGAAGAAAAAAAGAAAACAATAGATACATAAAGAATAAGTGCAAATGTTGATTCGCTCATACTCCTAGAGTTGGACGAAATAGAAGAAAGAGAGAGAGAGAGAAGTGACAACTAAAAGAAGAAAGATAACGAACAATAATGACAAGACAATTTGTACAAAAAGATAAACTTTTTTCTCTTTTTTTTCTTTAATTTTATCATGTAAATGTTATTTTCGACCTGTATTTCGATGATATGCTCGTGTACCAATAAAACCTTCTTGATCATCCTGAATATCATCATCTAAAAGAAAATATATTTCAAATTTAATTATTTAAATACAAAATAGAACATACTCATGGGTGAAACAGTTGATTTTGTTGCAAATATTTTACGTCTTGGTCTATCATTTGGATCTTCATATGTATCTTGTCGAGTTGTTGTTGATTTAACTGCAAAAGCTCGACGTTTTGTTGGTGGTGATGATAATTCTTCTTTAGGCGCTATTGCTTGTGGTTGAATTGGAAGTGATTGTTGCGGTGGTAATGGTTCTGGTTCATTTGTTGTTTGTAAAATAAATTGTTGTTGTCCTGATCCTTGTGTAAGAACAGTATATTGGGTACCACCTGGTGATGTACATAAAGTAGCCATTTGTTGTTGTTGATTGGGATCAATTTGTTCAATAGTTAATGGTGTATTTGGATCAATACCAGCTTGAGCAAGTAATTGTTGTAATTGTGCTTGATCAAGTGCAAATGGTGAAACAAATGTTTGAGGTTGTGCTTGTTGAATTGATATTGGTTGACCATCTGTAATATAGCAAAAATAAAACAAAATTTAAATCTAATAGAAAATTTCTTATTTACCACTATCAACAATAATAGCACCTTGTGAACTAAGTAATTGTTGTGCTTCTTCTGTAGACAATAGAACTGTATGTTCAATACCATTTTCATCAATAATATTAGCCGTTATCGTTCCTAGTTGTTGTGTGATATTTTTTGCTCCATTATCGTCACATTGTATTGTTTCTTCACTAACAATATTTGATGGTGTTTCATCGACCATCATTGATAAATCATCATCATGTTGTTGAGCTTTACGACGTGCATCAGCAGCCATGGTAACATCAGCTGCTGTAGCTAAAACATGTGCTGCTTCCATTGTATCCAAATCTGTATTAATTGGAGTAGAATTTAAATTTTTATTTGTAAGTTGTTCGTCATTATTTATTTGTATACGACCTGGTGGGCGTGACCATGCAAATGGTTTGTTATTATTTGTTGAAGAATGATCATTGGATGAATTCAGTTGTTGATTTGTTGATGATGGTTTAGGTAGAATCTTTTTTTGTTTTGGTGCATCAACAGGTAATTTAACTGAAAACAATAGAATTTAAATATAGAAAAAAAAGAAAGAATTGTGTACTTACCTTGTTGTACAACAGTTACAGGAAGAACTTGTTGTTGTTGTTGATCTGATGTTAAAACAGAAAGAACTTGTTGTTGATTTTTTTGTTCTTGTTGTGGCATATTAACATAAAATATTTGGGATTGATTTGAAACATCATTTAATTGTGTATCATTCATTTTTGTAATATATGTATTACCACTTGAATTATTATTATTATTTGTTGTTGCTATTGGACGTGTTTGTTGTTGTTGGTGTTGTTGTTGTTGTTGATGATGATAATAATCTTCATCCTAATAAAATATTATTTAAAAAATAAAGATTAATGAGTATAATCAAATATAT